TCAAACTATATGTAGTGACCGAATGGAGATACTAATACTGTTTCATCGATTGTGTCGTATCTGGAGTTGAGGACGGATGCATGTTCTATATTCGAACTTGAAAGCAAATCTCGTTGGCAGGAATATCAGACAACCCAAACCAAGAAGATTTATGTTGGTTTGACCGAGAACTGCGGACGTGCCTCCGGCAGCGGAATAAAGCCTGGTCCAGGCGCAGGATGTGAGGAATATCGATGTATTCGGAATCATTGTACTGCACTAAAAAATGCAGGAAAACCAGATTCGAGGAACGACTGGCAACGGATTCAGTACAAGCACCAAAGCGATGGTATGTCTACCTCAGGCGAAGAATCACAGCAACGCCTGGTCTCCCGACTCTCGCCAAAGATGGGGCACTAGCCGAAAAAGATGTGGACAAAGCGGAGATGCTGGCATCACATTATGCCTCAGTGTACACCCCAGCCTCCAGCACACTGGCACATCTACTGGACACTGACACTGCGCTGAAATGGGCCCCATTTACAATCGGAGAGGTGGCCCTGGAGCTGCGTCGACTAAAGGTTCACCAGTCACCTGGATCTGATGGTGTGCATCCGCTAATCTTGAAGGAGCTGGCAGAGGAACTTGCAGCGCCACTGTGCAACCTGTTGAGTTTGTCATTCATTTAAGGGCGTTTACCGCGACAGTGGAAGGACGCTGTCATTGTTCCACTGCCCAAAGTTGGGGATAAGAGTTATCCTGGGAACTACCGACCAGTCAGCCTTACTAGCGTTGTGGGTAAAGTAATGGAGCGACTGGTGGCTGCACGGCTTCGGAAGCATTTGGTATGCCACGGTCACCTGGGCCACCAACAACACGGTTTCCTACCGGGTCGCTCATGCCTCTCAAATCTGCTACTTGCACGTGAATGCTGGACAAGGCCAAAGGACACGAAACGGACAGCATCTTTGTGGACTTCAGCAAGGCCTTCGACAAGGTGCCGCACGACCTCCTTCTGCGAAATCTGTCCAACCTAGGTGTAGGTGCGGTAATGCGGAATTGGCTGAGAGTCATCCTCATCGATCGGAAATTCTGCGTCCGTGTTGGCAAACAGCTCTCTACGTGGTATTCCGCACCCATTGGGGTCCCCCAAGGCTCGGTTCTTGGTCCATTGATCTTTGTGGTAAATGTGAACGAGCTGGTTGGTCAACTGTGCAGTCCATCCCTCATGCATGCGGATGACATCAAAAGCTGGCGTACAATCAAGGATCCGAATGATCGAAGTTCTCTTCAAGCGGATTTGAACAACCTGGCTCAGTGGGCGGACACCTGGGCTTTTCCAGTCAACACAGCAAAGTGTGCTCATCTGCATTTGGGGCATGCTGACTCAGAGGTAGTCCACAACTTCCAGGGAACCACATTGTGCAGAACATCGTGCGAACGAGACCTGGGTGTTATGGTTACGTCATCACTAAGGGCCCGAGAAAACACTGATCGGGTTTGTACTAGCGCATGGAGCATTCTGGGGCCTATTCGGCGGTCTTTCAACCAGCTCATGATGGACGCTTTCAGGTTGCTGTACGCTTCCCACGTCAGACCAAGACTTGAGTACGGTGGTGC